GTACACTTAAAAATGGTTAAGATGATAAATTTTGTACCACAATAAAAAGAATTTTTAGAGCCATTGTATGCTGTTCCAACATTGACAACTTTGTTAAATAATAATAATGATGATAACATCCATGACAATGTCAACAGGAATAAAAACCTCCATTGACTGAGTACCTAAAAACAAACAAAACTGTTTCAGTCTTTATAAGTTTTGGTTTATTTCCTAATTATCTTTGCTCTTGGGGTACAGTCGTTTGAGGGTCCCATTGAAGAGCTGTGTTATTTGTGAAGGCCCTTCATCCTTGGTGGCCCTGGGACTCCAATTTTTATCCTCCAGCCTTGTGAGATTGCCAGGTCTGCTCAGATTCTCAGGTTTTCATCTGCCAATTATCAGCAAAGGCCCCAAAGGGAAAAGTGACACTCTGTCAGGCTCTCCTCTCTGAGCTTCTCTTCCCTCCAAGATCTCAGTTCCTCAAATCCTTGCTGCCTTGATGCCTTCAGATAGTTAAAATATTTTATTCACCTTTTCTAACTATTCTAAATAGGGAAGATAGTATCATCCTAATCTGCTATATCTAGAAGCAGAAATCCTTGAGAAATTTGAGAAGACTGAATAGAGACCTTCTCAGTGGCAGTTTAGATTACAGGTCAATGTGAAATCAAATGTATGAGATTTGGGCAGGAAGACCATAGTTTGAATCCAGTCTTTACCATAACCTGTGCAATGATGGGAAAACCTCAAATCCTAGGAAGCTTAGAGATACATTTCTAGCGAATGGACAGCATGTATATAGGTAGGCATGACATAAGTTCTTGGCCTTATCATTGGTCCTGTTTTATCTCCGTTTCTGTTCATCTTTTGTATCATTTTAATATGTTTTATTGAAATATCATGTTTCATTGTTAGTTATCTTAAATTCTTTCTGGCAGTATTTTAATTGATTTATTCATTACTTTTTCATTAAAATAAACCTGTTTACTCCCTGAACCTGTTTTCTCACCAATTAAATTTAAATAATGATCACTTATTTAGTTACAAGATTGAGGTTCAGATCACATGAGATAATGCATATAAAAGTGCTTTAAAGAAGAAATTGACAGTGACTAGAGGGGAGTGGGGAAGGGGATAAATGGGGAAAGAAGGGGAAGGGTCAAGTCAAGGAACACGTATGAAGGACCCACAGATAAAGACAACAGGGCGAGAGGGAAGATTGAATGTGGGAGGTGGGGTGAGTAGGGCAGGGGAGAGTAATGGGGGAAAAATAGGGACAACTGTAACTGAACAACTATATATATATATATATATATATACACACACATACATATATATATAGAATATATATATATAAATTAAAAAAACAAAAGTGCTTTGTAAAGCAATGTACCAGCATGACTAATTTATTTGAACCTGGAAGTCATGTTCAATATCCTTCTTCTTTGTTTTCCATATCCTGTCCATTAACAGGTCTTGCCAATTTAACCTCCTACATTTCTGTCAAATCTGTTCACCTCTATCTTCACCAAAACTCCTCTGATCAGGTCATCCTCATCTCTCACTTGAACCATTATGATAGTCTCTTATTTGTCTTCTCTCACTTTTTTCCCCACTAAATAATTTTCCCTATTTTACTCAGTATGGTATTTCTAAAACGCAAATCTGATTGTGTTACTCTCTTGCTTAAAATATCATTCAATAGCTTCCTAGTGCTCTGAGGGGGAAAAAAAAAAAAAATCTTTAACTTTTTTTTAATTTATCTTTTTATTTTTTTCCTTTCTTTAAATTTATAAATCATGTTTATTATTTTACAATTGTCTTTATTTTTATCCCTTTACCTTCCTCCACCCATCCCACCCCCACCCCCACTCCCACATTCAATTCCCACTCTGTTGTCCATGTCCATGGGTCATTCATACATGTTCTTTGTCTAGTCCCTTCCCCTTCTTTCCACCATTGTCCTCTTTCCCCATCCCCTCTGGTCATTTTCAGTCTGGTCCATGTTTCTGTACCTGTGGTTTATTTTGTTCGTTAGTTTGTTTTGTTGAATAGAGTCCACTTATAGATGAGATCATATGGTATTTGTCTTTCATCAACTGGCCTGTTTCACTTAGCTTAATATTCTCCAGTTCCATCAATGTTGTCACAAAGGTAGGAGTTCCATCTCTCTCTCTCTCGCTTTCTTTCCTTCTTAAATGCAGATTGATTTTATTTATTTTTTAGATGTCAAAGTTAATTATAAAATATTTTAAAAAATTTTTTTTAATTTTATTTTAATTTATTTTTTCAAATACATTTGTCTCTGCCTCCCCCCCACCACTTTCCCTTTAACTTGACTCTGCAAGGTTTAGCCCTTGCCTTGCCTCTCCCCGTCAGTCGGTCCAGTCTGCAGCGCCCTGCCTAAGGACCTTTGAACAAGCTGTTCTCTCTCCTCCCACCCCACCCCACCCTTTGCTCCATTACCTAACTAACTCTTATTTATCCTTCCAGTTTCTCAGCCTTTCCTTTCCTCCACACCTAGGTCCTAATACTTGAAACCTCTCTTTCATAACAAGTAAATAATTAGTGATGTGAATACTTCATTCCGTCTGTTTCCTGTGCTGAAATGTAAGCTCATTGGTGGCAGGGACACATCTATCTAATTTTTCACTGTATTACCAGTGCCTAACACAGTTCCTGATTCACAATAGTGTCATCAATGAATAAATGAATCCTTCTTGGGTACACATCAGTTGACTGTTTTCCAGAGGCTGGGCAGTTAAAAGGTATGGGTGCATTAGGAAGCAGGACAGATATTTTTGATCACTCCTCCCTCTATCCTCCTCACATTATGCACTCACCTTCCCCAGCTCAATCAAAACACAGCAGTATCTGTCTCATCATGGGCTCCCTCAAAAGTGCCCCAAGTGAAATATTGCTAGGTCATGGGGTTTTGTGAAGCTCCATGGGAACTGCGTCAGGAAATAGGAGATTCTCTTTGCTGGTACCAGAAGAACCAACCCCCAAAAGGTGAGCCAGCCCGTGAGCTCCCTATACCCTCCCACAGGGAGCTCACAGTGGAGAAAACAGTTCTTCTGGTCAGCCTTTTCCTTTCTTTCCAGGTTTTTGTTTTTGTTTCAACATATAATATATGCTTATGATATAAAGATACAAAAGGATATACAGAAAAAACAAAAACCTTCCCCCAGGCACTGAATTCCCCTCACCAGAAACAGTAACTTTCCAGAAATATTCTATATAAACACAAGTAAATTCGTATATATTATCCCCCCACCCCCCCGCAACAACACACATGCACTGTATACAAAGGTATCTTACTCTTCACACTGTTTTCAGCTTGCTTATTTCACTTGACAGTATAGCTTGGAGACTGTTCCGTATCAGTTTATATAAGGCTACTTCATTTTTTTTATACTTGTATCTTTTGAAGGCACGTGTAACAATTTATTTTTCCAGTACCATATTTATGGACATTTAGGCAGTTTCCAATATTTTGCTATTGTAACTACCAGTGCAATGGGTATACATGTATGTATTTCATTTTATACATGTTTTTGTTTTTTGCATGATAAAATATCTAGAAGTGATTCAGATGTATAGACATTTAAAGTTTTGCTAGATATTACTTGGGTTTTATTTGCCATAATTAGCACATAGTTAATGAATACATTTGGCCTATGTACTTTTTTCAATTACAGTAATGTCATATTATGTCTTAATATCTAGGAAGCCTGGTCATACTACATTCCTCTTTTAGAAATTTCTTTTTGAACCTTTGAATAAACTTTTCTAGTGTCAGAGAAAAAACTTGTTGGCATTTTTATTGAGAATGTATTAAACTTAAGATCAGCTTACTAGATTATGTTATCCTTTATAATCTTTTTAGCAGATTCATATTTTCCAGGTAAACATCATATCATCATTAAGTAATGAACAATTTACCTCTTAATTTCTCAGGAAGAATCTTTTGTGGGGAGGAAGTGAGAAGGCAGCAGCTTCATTTTTTAATATTATATGATTCTTCAAATAGGTAATGGTTTAAAGTTTTAAAAGTATGAAAGGGCCAACAGCAGAAAAATCGCCTTCTGAGCCCACCCCCCGGCTCTCCTCCCCACTCACAACCAATATTCTTTGTCGCTTCTCTTGGATCCATCTATAGAAACCCCCCATACATGCAGGTCAGTATAGCCACCCTGGGAGTGCTTTTGGTGACAGTCTCAGAAGCCCAATCAAAAGCTGGGCTTTAGAAGGTCAAAGACAGCCAAATAGGAGATCCTCTCCTGTGTCTTATCTCCTTGGTGACTAGACAAGCAGAAATAGAAAAGACGTAGGCTCCGGGTCCCAACATAGTTCCAAACCTCTGATAGAGTGTCCCAGAGCTTGGCAGGCTCTGGCTTCTGTTCTTAGGACATTTATTTTTCACCAACATATTCTACCTCTTTATCTCTTTCACACAGATGAGTCCCAGACATACATGTTCTCTCTCTGTATTCTCAGAACAGCCCGTGAACATCTAGCAACTTGTAGCCCGTGATATGCATAGGGCCTGAGATCTGGGGCTGGATGTGGGCCTCCTGTTTGTGGAGTCATCTCTTCCAGGGTCTTTCAAGTGTCATCCAGATAACATCTCAGAGAGTCTCTTGAGGCCACGGAAGCAACCGGCTTAGAGGTTTTTTTGGGGTTTCTCCAGGTGGCAGATCTTTCCCACTTCACCCCTCAATCCAGCCTGCCAGGCATACCCTTGCCGGGGCCTCCTGGCACAAAAGATAAAATGAAAAATGTCACCTCCCAACAGCCGGTCCAAGAGATAGCAGCAGGGAGGGAGTAGGAGAGAAGCAACTTGTCAGGGAGCTCACAAGAGAAGTGGAAGGAAACTCCACTATTTATAGATTCTTAAGCTAACAAAATTACCTTCATCATTTTCTGTCTGGAAGACAGATTCAGAGAGGGAACCCTGAGCAACAGTTCAAGACAGGCATTTCCTGTGGGCAACTGGATAAGAGCAGCCTGCAGCCATGGGACAGGGTGAGCCAAGCCAGCTCCGCATGGGGCTTGCTGGACTGTCAGCAGCCCTTCCATCATTATGCGTTTTCATGAAAAGAAGTAGGATGGTGGTGGACGTGATGTGACTATGGAAAGGAGTGGTAGTGGGTGCTGGGAGTGGTGGAGGTGATGGCGGTGGGGCCATGGAGTGGTAGCAGGGTAGGTTTGGGTGGCAAGTTAGTGGTCATAGTTGTGAAGATGGTGGTAATATGATGATGGTGATTAACATGGATCTATATTCTTGACCCAGGGTCATCATAAGAGGACTGTTCTCACTGGGTTGTGATACAGGAGATGGCCCTGGAAAAGCATGAGGGTGTCATAGCTTCAAGACTAAATGGAAAAGAAGGGAAAGTAGGGAGTCAGGGAATCTATCTAAAAGGAGCAAAGGCAGACAGAAAGCAAGAAATCATGCAGACCCCAGAGTATGCAGAAACTTCAGGGACCTCTGCAGTTCTGTTAGCACATTAACAAGTCTCATTATAAACGAGAATTGTCTGTTAGCCTGCCTTAATACTCCCAGGCCCACTCCTCGTAGAGTGTTCTAGTGTGTGTGGCACCGTAGATTTAGTGAGCCTTTAGGGGAAACAGCCAAGTATGATCTCACGCTTGCCATTTATAAGACAAGAGAGCTGGATTTAGTGATTTCAGAACCAGCTCTTGAAATTATCTGATTTCGTTCTAAGAAAAAATGAGTAGTGGTGGGCAAGATTCTGGATTTTATTCATTGCTTTTGGTTTGGGACCAGAACAGGAGGTCAACGATGAGGAAAAAGCACTGCTCTTATTATTAACAATAACGGTTTCATGTAATGGGACTTATGGGTCTGACCCTGTGTTAAGTGTATTACAGTAGTCCTCCCTTATCCATATTTTCACTTTTCGTGGTTTCATTACCTGTGATCAACCGTGATCTGAAAATATTAAATAAAACTTTCTAGCAGTAAATAATTCACAAGTTTTAAGTTGCAGGTTCTTCTGAGTAGCATGATGAAATTTTGCCCCATGTGCTTCCTGGGATGCGAACCATCCCTTTGTCCCGTGTATTTGTGATGTGTATGCTACCTGCCCTTTACTCACTTAGTAGTCATCTTGGTTGTTAGGAAGGCTTTTGAGGTATCACAGTGCTTGCATTCAAGTAACCCTTATCTTAATAATGGCCCCCAAACAATTCACATAACTTTTATTATTGTTTATTGTTACAATTGTTCTACTTTATTAATAGTTATTGTTATTAATTTCTAATTGTACCAAATTTATAAATTAAACTTTATCATAAGTACATATAGGAAAACACATAGTATATAGCAGTGATTTTCACCTTTTTTCATCTCATGGCACACTTAAGCTCATAACATAAACTAAAATTCTGCAGCCCATCAAAAATGTTATATTTTTTGTTGATCTGACAAAACAATAGATACGAGTTTTATTCATTCACAGCTATTGTTGTGTTCGTTATTGTCATTTTTTTTATTTGACAGTCTAAGGGAAAAGAGATCAGTGCCCCTGATTCAATAGTCAGCTATTACATGGTTTAAAAATTCTTGTGGCACACTGGTTGAAAATCACTAGCTGGTAGCATAGAGTTTGGTACTATCTCCAGTTCCAGGCATCCACCAGGGTCTTGGCATGTATCCCCCGAGGAGAAGGGGTGAGCAGGGACTACTGCAAATACATTATTTCATTTAATCTCCACAACACTGCAAGGAGGAGTGATCATTCTCAGGAAGACAAAATTGAGGGTCAGGGTAGTTAAGTTACTTGCCTTTGGTGGCACAGCTACTAAGTAAGTTGAGCCAAGGATTTTGAATGCTTGTCTCTCTGACTCCAGGGTCTCTGCTTTTACTTACTTGTCACGTTCACCGCAGTCTCCATGTTTTCTCTCTCTTCCACATAGCCCTAGGAATCAAGAGCTGTGACTTCCAGGCAGCAAGAAACAATGAGGAGCACCATACGAAGGACATCAGCTCCAGGCGCCTTGTTGTGAGGAGAGGACAGCCCTTCACCATCACACTACATTTCCGGGCTCCGGTCCATGCATTCCTGCCTGTCCTGAAGAAGGTGGCCCTCATTGCACAAACTGGTAAGTGGGGCAGGCCCAGAGCTGTTTGGCACCAGGACTGAAGGGTTCTTTCTCATCACCCCCTCAGGGAACTAAGGGGCAAATGGCCTACATGGTACCTGGGCCTCAAGAAGCTTTGCCCACCCAGCATGGCTGTTGTGAGGAGATATTGTGCATAATGAGTATTGTTTATTATGGTTCAGAAGTTGCCCAGCAGCAGTATCTTTAGGCGGTTTCTTTTGGTTGCAAATATTATATCAGTTTTTTAGAAAAGCCCAGATAGGATCTAACCCAGGCTGAATATAATATTTAATTGTTACTATTCATTGCATCTGCCCTCCATGTCAGATATTAGGCCAAGGTCTTTATATACAATATCTCATTAAGACTTCACATTGACCCTACAAAGCAGGTATTGTTACCATGCCCATTTTATAGACTATGGAATGTCTAGATGTAAGTACATTGGCACTGAGAACCTGTGTGCTTGCATCGCCCTCTGTTGACTCCCATTAATGGATGGGCCCCTTATTCTCCTCCAAAACCCATTTTTTACGTACTCCAGTTTTGTGATACTTTATTTTATTACTCAGTTGTGACCAAGAGGTCCAAATGACCAATACATCTGTGTGTGACTGCAGGAGAGCAGCCTTCCAAGGCCAACATGACCCAAGCCACATTCCCCATTTCCAGTCTGGGGGACCGGAAGAGGTGGAGTGCGGAGGTGGAGGACAGAGATGCCCAGTCCTGGACCATCTCTGTGACCACTCCCTCAGACGCCATCATCGGCCACTACTCACTTCTGCTGCAGGTCTTGCACAGGAAGCCACGCCTCCTGGGCCAGTTCACCCTGCTCTTTAACCCCTGGGTTAGAGGTGAGTTGGGACTTGGGTCAGCCTGGGCTGCATAGGATACTCAGGGCCCAGGTTCTGGGTGCAGCCTGGCAGCTTCCTCTAAAGGCAGCACCAGCACTGGTTCTTGTGGTATCTGTTTCCTGAAAGGCCTCTCTGACCCTGGCAGAAACAGCCTGGGGCTTCCCTCCGAGACCAAAGGCTTATCTCACCACCAAACCCTGGGGTTGCTTCAGACTAGCTGGTCACAGGAGATAAGAGTCAGAGATGACCCTGGGAGAGCTACCAGACACTACAAGATCTAGAAAGTACTTCAGGAATAGAGGCGACCTAAAGGATAAGCTTCTTTGTTTCCTCCCTGGACTGCCATAGACTATCACCAGGTGAGCCCAGGTTCTGTGGGGCCTGAGGTTTATATAATTTGGGGAAATCCCCTTAAAGTAAGAGAATACAAAATTTTTAATTGCTAAAACCCCTCCCAAGGTCCAAAAGGGGTCTGATAAGGGGCCCCAAAATATTCAAATTCATCAGCTTCACAGTAAATCTGTCCTTCTCCTCTCCACTTGTTTATTCTGTTCTTACTACTGAAGACTGGAGCCGCAAATTCCACAGCAGGCCTCCTGTAGCTCAGCAGGGAACTTTATAAAACGGGGGCTGCACCCAAGCAGAGAGGAGGAGGATGGAGCCACCTGTGCTCTGCTAATGTACTTCCCAGAGCCCTGCAGCACCTGGGCCAAACACCTCAGCTTGAAGTGACTTCCAGAAGTGATGTCCGCTGACTTCATAGAAAATACCCAGGAGGGAGGGGCAGGAGTTGAGGGCTCCTTGGGCATATGGCTCTGATTTTAGGTCCCAGGTGTTTCAGGGCTTTCTGAGTTCTAATATCCTATCCTCCCATTGCTTTGAGCACCCTCATCCCGGACGGATGCCTGGTGGGATGGTTTGACAATCTTTTTCTCCTTCTAGTCTCCAGAAACCTGTCTAACCATTCCCCACTCTACCCCCAGCACTAGGTACAGAGAGAGACACTTGGCAAATAGGGCTTTGAAGTGTCCATTGCCAGCTTTCTAGAGGTTGGGCTCCTCCCCAGCCCAACCCTTCGATGAGGACAGCAGGACAGGAACCAGCAGGAGATCATGGGAGCCGCACGCGCACTCGGAGGGGCCGAGGGCGCAAAGCCAATGCCTTGGCTTCTGATTTGCCAGCCTCACTGCTCCCTACGACCCTGTCTTGCCAAATGCTGCTCTTCTCTTCCACTCGCCCCTGTCAACCTATGTTGTATTGGTTTATCTGAAACACTATTTTTTTTTAAAAAAACTGAACCTGTGAGAGTCACATAACAGGCCCCCTGAGAAGCTCCCTGGGCTGCTGCCATCTTCTCATGGGCTGTAGCACTCTGGCCACACGTGTCTTTTGGGACCTGGTAGGCTTTTTAAGGTTGGTTGGTTCCTGTCTGCCTGGCTGACCACAAAGGGTACCTTGGCTGATGCAAAAGCTCTGACCCCTTTCCCTGGTCTCCACCAGAGAAAAGGCTGGGTCCCACTGGGGACAGTGAAAAGAGGAATTTCTTCTTCAGTCCTCTTCAGACCCAGAGCTGAAGGGGAGACATGTAGCAGAAACTGACCTGGGCGGGGTGGGCAGAGGCCAGGATGTGAAGAGCAGGCCCAGCACCCGACAGGCCTTCATCCCTGCCTGCCTCTCACCAGAGGATGCTGTGTTTCTGGAAAATGAGGCTCAACGCCGGGAGTACTTGTTGAACCAAAACGGCCTCATCTACCTGGGTACGGCTGACTGCATCCAGGAAGAGCCCTGGGACTTTGGCCAGGTATGGGGGCCTCCAGGGAAGGCGAAGGGACAGTGATTGCCCTATAACCTTTAGTGTTCAGGTCAAAGCTGACAGGTCCAAAAGCCCCTGGTCATGGGGCAATGTGTTTAGAAAATTTCTGCCATGTGGCACCTCTCTTTCCTAGGACCATGTCACATCATCCTCTACAGCTTCCCGAATTATTTCCTTAAAGACCATACAAATTAAACTCCTCTGTTAAATCCCCACTGTCTACAGAATAAAAACCAATGCCCTGGCATGACACACAGGCCCTTTACAGCCAGACCACTGCTTTCCTTTTCCCAAGAGCCACTCAGGCTTCAATTCCCGGCCAGCCCATGGACATGCATGCTGGATGTCCCCTCTACCTGGAATAGCATCCCTTCTTTATTACCCTGGAGCTCCTATCCATCTTTTAAGGCCTTCGGAAAGCCTTCCTCAGTCCCCAAAGGCAAAGTGAATCTCTTTGCTGCACTTTCTGCTCTGGGTTGGCATCTCTCTTACAGCTTTGGCTACGTAGCTGAGATCTGTAGTCTAAGTGGCCACGTGTCCCTCTCCATTCTTAACCGTGGGCTCTTTGAGAGCAGGAGCCAGGTATCCTGCACACGTGGGTCAGTGCTGGCAGGACCAGTAGGAGGGCACTAAATGGATAAAGATAGAAATGAAAGGAAACAACAGAGCCCTGGTCTTCAAGAGTTTATACCTTATTGGGATTGCACTGTCAGGCACGGGGAGCAGGGGACACCTGGAGACAACAAAGCAAGGAAAGAAGGAGGAAAACCCGAGTCTGGGAGAAGGTCAAGGTGATGGGGCTCATCTGAGGGATAGAAACCCTTCATCACGGCTCTGTGTGGTCCTTACAGTTCGAGGGGGATGTCTTGGACCTCAGCCTGGACCTGCTGAGCATGGACAAGCAGGTGGAGAAGTGGGGCAACCCTGTGCATGTGGCCCGCATTTTGGGCGCCTTGGTGAGTGAGAGGAGGAAAGGGGGGGCCCTCTGGCAGAGCCGCCCCCCTCTGTGGCCCTGGATATCTTCAGGGATAGTTCCTGGAGAAGAGCATGAGTGAGGAGGGGAGGACAGCAGCATCCCTGGGGGAGAGAAAAGCAAAGAGAGGTATCATCCTTCAAGACTCAAGCCAGTGAGGACTGAAACTGGCCTGGAATTCCTCAGAGCACTCTGCTGTCACCTGCCTCCTCCCCGCAGCCTAAGCAGGAGGCCTAGGTCCCTGGAAGGGAGGGAGTAGGGTTCATCTTGCTCAGTGTTTGAGGCAAAGGTGGTCAAAGGGACTTGTTTTTATTTCTAAATTATTCCTAAGGATATGCAGACCACGAAGGTAGCTTGGTGCTTTCCCATTGTTCCTAAATGTCCTTCACAATGTGTTCTCCATTTCCTCTTGTGCTGCTGGACTCTCCTGTGAAAGGGTGGGAAGGGACAGGGCCAGCTTGTGAGGAGGAGGTTTAGGATAAGAGGGCCTCCAGACCCCAGGTGCAAACATCCCCGAAGGACTCAGGACCAGGCATCTGAAGGAGCAGGGAACCCAGCCCCCGGTGAGGGGCCACTCTCATGTTCCTTGTGTGGCTTTCTTTGCCAGTGTGGTCCACAAACCCCTGGCTTCTAGAGGACTTGTTAAAAAGGTGGATTCCTCGATTTCCATCCCCCCAGAGATTATAACCCAGGGAGCTAAGGTGGAGCCCTGGGACGTGCAGGTTTAACATGGTCCAGGTAATTCTGATGCAGATGGTCTGTTCACCACACTTGGAGAACTGTGATGAGCCCTCCTCACCCCCCACCCCCACCAACTTCTCACCCCACCTCATGCCCTCGTCCCTGAAAGCTGTCTCATCCTGGGACTCACATAATATCCACATGTTTCCCCAAACAGCTGCATTCTCTCAAGAAGAAGAGTGTCCTGCCCACCCCCCAGACCCAGGCTGCCCAGGAAGAGGCCTTGCTGAACAAGCGCCGGGGCAGCGTGCCCATCCTGCGGCAGTGGCTCACAGGCCAAGGGCGACCTGTGTGTGACGGGCAGGCCTGGGTGTTGGCTGCTGTTGCTTGCACAGGTACAGAGCAGGCTCACCTTGGCTGCTGCACAGTGTCTGCCTCTTGGGTTGCCCTTTGGTCCCCGATGTGGGAGGGACATCTCCAAAAGCAGCTACTGCCTCCACTCTGCAGCATTTCCTCACCATCATTACTCCCGTAACTGGTTCCAATGCACCATCTGGCCAAGAAACCAGCTACTTGTTCAAGGCAGCTCCTCCTGACCAGCTTCTGCTCCTTTTCCCGCTCAGCAATTTTGGGCCTATCTGACGAACTCTGCTCCCATCTCACTTTCACCCCAAAACTTCCCCTGGTCCTCCCCAAGTAGGGCAAGCCCCCAGTGCTCTGCCAGCCTCTCCGTGCCGCATGCTCTGCCTGCTGGGCAACTTGTGTGGACCTCATTCCGTGGCCTTTATAGGTCCTGTGCCTGGTGTCAGTTCTAACTTCCTGGTGCCTATCTCCCTCCTCTTTCCATGGGGTCCCCTGGCATTTAAGACAGTGCCTGACCAGAGAAGACACTGAAGACACTCCCCACACCCCACCCTGGCCTCTCTGGCGCCCTCTGACTCTGCCCCTCATTGCAGTCCTGCGCTGTCTGGGAATCCCTGCCCGCGTCGTTACCACATTCGGCTCAGCCCAGACCACCAGCGGAGGCCTGTTTGTGGATGAGTACTACAATGAGGACGGGCTTCAGAATGGAGAAAGCCAAAGAGGCAAAATCTGGTGAGAAGCCCAAAGGGGATGGAGTCTCAGACTGGAAGGGCTCCAAACCCGGGTGGCATAACCCTGTGGGAACCCACCACCCTCAATGGCCCAGGCACTAAGAGAAGGCCTTCAAGACCCTTGGATGCTAAAGGTCAGCTGTAGCACGCAAGCCGCTTCCTGGGAGCATGGCAACCGCTTTGGCACAGCATCCTCCCATGGCTTCAGCAACAACTGCTATTCCTAGAATCTCTTCAGGACTCTTCCCCTGCCCCCCAACTTGAATTGTTCCTTTGCTACCTTCAGGATCTTCCAGACTTCCACAGAGTGCTGGATGACCCGACCTGCTTTGCCCCAGGGTTATGGTGGATGGCAGATTCTGTACCCAAGTGCTCCTGAGGGAAGTGGAGGTAAAGTCTGTGACTACCATGCTCTGGGCAGAGCTGCGTGGGCTAAAGGAGTCCCTCAGAGAGAAAGGAGCAGCAGCAGGTTGTCCAGAGGGGGTCTGCATCCCCTAAAACAGGAAAAGCGGAAAGAATGACAGTGGTTGGCTGAATGCTGACCCAATGCCAGTGGGCTCCAGGGGACAAAGGTGTTAGCCATCTCAGCCCAGGGCTGTGGGGAGACTAGCCCCATCTCAGAGCAATGGCTGCGATTACTGAGCCTCAGTGAAAGGCAGAAGGTCTTAAAAGAAATGGTAGTTATGTTGGGTCAGGAGCTTGTAATGTGGGACTTCTGAGGTTCTGGTTACAGATGAAGAGGGTATCAAGATAGGTTCCAGCTCAGAGAAGTTATCTTCAGGAGCCATAAAATATGGCTCTTTTCCCCCAGGAACAGATCAGTCCCAAAGCCCGGCATACATAAGATCTCAGTGCAGATGGCATACTCCTATTACATCCACAGCAAAGCTGGCTTAGGAACCCCTATGCACTGTGTTTCTCTGAGGTTCTACCTGCCCAGTTTCTGAAAGGGCTCCTGCCACAGGCCATTACCAAAATTATTGTCACTAAACATTGTGAATTTCACCTCTGAATGCCTTCTTAGAAACTCTGCTTAGTGCCTACCTCGGATCTTGATCCCCAGGGAGGGAAAATAGGGTCTAGGATGGGAACTGAGGTCATGGAGCTCTGACCCAAGCAGAGGTCTGGGCATTGCTCCTCTTGCTCTCTGACCTTTCTCTCCCTCAGTCCTGAAGACCTGTGATCTGGTCCCCGTCAGAGCAGTCAAGGAGGGGACACTGGGGCTGACCCCTGCAGTAGCAGATCTTTTTGCTGCAATAAACGCCTCATGTGTGGTCTGGAAGTGCTGTGAGGATGGGACACTGGAGCTGACCAACTCCAACACTAAGTATGTTGGCAACAACATCAGCACCAAAGGCGTGGGCGGTGACCGCTGTGAGGACATCACTCAGAACTACAAGTACCCTGAAGGTACTAGGCAGGGGAGGACCCCAGGCTTCTCAGCCCCTGAAATAGCAAAACGGGGGAGGGGTGGGCTAGACAGATGCAGGCCACAGGGAGTTGTAGTCCTTTCCGCATCAAATAAAACAGGGTTTCTTAACCTGCTTTGACACTATTGACATTTTGGGCCAGGTGACTCCTTGTTGTGGGGGGTTGTGCATCATAGGGCATTTAGCAGTGTTTCTGGCCTCTGTCCACTAGATGCCAGCTCCTCTCGACCACCATCACCAGTTGTGACAACCAAAAATGTCTCCAGACATTTCCAAATGTCTCCTGAGGGGCACAATTACCCTCAGCTGAGAACTACTGCTTTAAAACAACACACTTAAGCCCAGCTTCCAGACAATGTTCTTGCTCTTACCCAATCCCTCTCTACCTGTTCTTCCCTCCATGCTACTTCATGGCACCAATGTCTACCTATTTGTTCCAAATATGGGTCTTGCACTCTCGTCTCTTCCTCTTTGATCAGTCTACATCGCCTCATCACCTCCTTCCCCATTGCCTGTGGGTAACCCGGGGCTTCATCTTCTCTTGTCCACAGGATTCCAACCGTCTCCTAACTGGACCCTCTGCCTGCTGTCTCTCCATCATTATTCCCATTCCAAACTTTCAGTTTCCAGAATGAGCTTTCTAAGACACAAGTGTAACTATGTTACATCCCTGCTCCAGAATATCCTTGGAATAAGTTCAAACTCTTTTGCTTAGAAAGATTCAAGTTTCTCCCAAACTGTCATCAGAGACGGTGTGACTTGTCCAAAAGTTGGCTTTCCCAACCATTCAAGGGGCAAATTCATAGCACTTGAAAAAGAACTTGGCCCTTGAGTGACTTGGGAGGGACACTCTGTACCTGTAGTGGATGTGCCGAATACAGGCCCTTTTTTTCTCCTCTTTTAAACATAAACATGGCCTTAGAAGTTTGTAAAGTTTTTGTGACTTTGGCATTTGAGCAGCAGTGGGTAAATGAGTCTTATTCATGAATAAGAGGCCTCTTTGTTTATCCCATTCTTAGGATCTCTTCAAGAAAAAGAGGTGCTGGAGAAAGTCCAGAAAGATAAACTGGGACACTGGGAAGGCAATGGCATCTGTCCTCCCAGTCTCGAGACTTCCGATCCTCTGTACTTGTTCTTGGAAGCGCCCCCCTCCCTACCACTGGGAGGGGATGCCCAGCTCTCTGTGACCCTGATTAACCCCAGTGACCAGGAGAAGACTGCGCAGCTGGCAATTGGGGTGCAGGCAGTGCACTACAATGGCACCCTTGCTGATGAGCTCTGGAGGAAGAAGCTGTTTCTCACGCTCAGTGCCAACCTGGGTAACTCTCTACAGCCCTGTCAGATGCCCAAATCCTCAGATCCCACCCAGGGAGGGGGAAATGCAGCCATAAGCCTCCCACCACGGGTCTCAATAGGTGGCTTCTAACCCCTGGTGTGCATGCTCTCTCTCTCTCTCTCTCTCTCTCAATATATGTATATTGTGCTACACACACACACACACACACACACACACACCACAATTCTGATTGCAGCAATATAAGTAAACAGACTATAGCAGCAGTGTAAGAAGTGTCTGATAAGGTAAACAGAACACAATGGCAGGGGGCATTGCATGCCATCTAGAGCAGGCTGCCTCCAAGTAAATCAAACAGCACTAAAGGATGAGTAGGAGAGTGGTGGACAGAAAAGTGCATCATGGGTATTCCACACAAAAGGAAAAATATGTGCACAGGTTCTTCCTCCCAGAGAGTCTTATTTAATTGGTCTGGGATGAGGTCCAGGCATTGCTGTTGTTGGTTTTTTGGGTTTTTTTTTTTTAACTCCCTATGTTATTCTGCGGTTGAAATTTCCTGGACAAGAGCAGTTGTTCTCTAACTTTCCTGTAATCAAAATCACCCAGGAAAATCTGTTGCTCAGCCTGCACCCTAAATCAATTAAATCAGAAATTCCATGGTTGGAACAAGATAAAACCAGTGTGGAATAGAGCTCGTGTATATTATTGCAACAGCCTCCTAGTCACCACTCTTCCCTCAGTCTCTCCATCCTGTTCCCTTTCTAAGGAAGGGGGGAAGTAGGGAGGGGAGCAGTGGGGAGAGTGGTATGAGAGCTGGACGAGGCCAGATCACACAGGAGCTTGTAGGTAACGCTAAGCACCTTGAGTTTTGTTCTCTGGGCAACAGGGAACTGGTGAAAGTTGTTACAGGGAGTCATTATGATCAGAAATTCATTTTTATCATTTTTTTATCCTCACCTGAGGACATGCTTAGTGATTTTAGAGAGAGGGAAAGCAGGGGAGAGAGAGGCATGAATGTGAAAGAGAAAATCGATTGGTTGCCTCTCATACGCACCTGACGGGGGACCAGACCCACAACCTAGGCATGTGCCCTTACTGGGGATCAAACCCGTGACCTTTTTTGGTTTACAGGATGACACTCAAACCAACGGAGCCACACCAGCCAGGGCAGAAATTCATTTTTAAAAAAGGACTTTTGGAAGAATGGAATGGAAGGGGTTACATTAGAATAGTGGTTCTCAGGCTGGGCTGCACATTAGAATCATGGGGAGCTTTAAAGATACTGATACCTGGGCCTCACCATCAAAGTCTGATATAACTGACTTGAGATACGGCCTGGCATTGGGATTGTTTTATAAAGCTCTCCATGTGATTCAAATGTGCAGCCAAGGTTGAAAACCACTGGATTAGAGGTTGAACTGTTTTGTAATAATCAAGAAATGAAGGACAAACTAAACTATCAGCCCTTCTTAATGAAGATACATTAAGAAGGTTCTGGATTGGATTTGTGAATATGTGTATGCGTGTGGGAAGAGAATGCATCCAGTTTGGGCAAGTCTCCAGAACAGGGAAAATGGGGAAGGAAAGGTTTGGAGGAAAAGATGACGAATTCTGTTTGTGGCATGTTGGGTTTGAAAGCCTGTTACATAGGCAGTATGCATCTGGAAACCTAAACCTGGTATTCAGCATTAAGGCCTGGGTTGTAGATGAAAGGGAAGAAACCCAGAAGAAAGGGGCAGCCAAGAATCATGGCATCAGTGAGCTGAAGGGGGCAACAAGGACTGTGAGGAGAAGAAAGAGTGAGGAGGGAACACAGGCAACACCAACATGTAAGGGGCAGTCAAGGAAAGAGCAGAGAGTAAGGGAGATGAAGAAGGCAAAGAGAGGAGGGGGCATCCAGCAAGGGCAACAGAGGCCAAGAGATGTCAAGGCTGAAAAGCATCCATTGACAGAGTGGTCTTACTCAGAAGCGATGGTGAACTCCAGCTTTCTGGGGGTTGAATGGATTGAGAGTTGAGGAGTTGAGACAAGCTGTGCAGTCCTTTCTGGAAGAGTGGATGGATAAAGAAGAGAGGCTAGGTGGCAGTCAGCCAGAGGCTGGGTAGAGGGAAGGTGTTTGTTTTCCATTTAAGATGAGAGAAAGTGAAATCTGCTTACATGCTGGAAAAAAAATAATCATCAGAGAAGAAAAGACTGAAGCCTCAGGAGAAATATGGTTTTTTTCTTTTTTAAAAATTGAATTTTTCTTGGGGAGACATTGGTTGATAAAATTATATAGGTTTCAGGTGTACAGTTCTATAATACATTATCTGTATGTTGTTTTGCATGTCCACCACTCCAAGTCAAGTAAGAAAGATGCATTTTAATTGATAATGCAACCCTTGGGGAAATGAGAATCAACTAGAATAATTATAGGTCACATTTACTGAGCTATACTTAATCTGTGGCAAATGTGGTATTAAATGTTCTATGTGCATTGTCTGATTTATCCTCACAACAACCCTACGAGGCAGGAACCATTATTATCCCCACTTTACAGATGAGGAGACTGAGACACAGTTACGCAGCTAGGCACTAGTAGGGTCAGGACAGAGCATGGATTTAAAAAGCAGAGGACGAGACTCGAGCAGGGGAGACACCTCATCCTCCTGCTGGGGCAGCGACAACCGGGGTAGAGGTCTATGTCTGTAGGTTGGGAATGGAAACATGAACTTGAGAGGACTCCTCGAGGATGAAAGATGGCTTTATTTCCTCTGACAAAGGGAAAGAGAAGAAGCAGAGAATGGGAAAGAACTATGCATATATTCGGCAACAACTGTGTGGCAGGGGCTGAGATAAGCACTTTATTTACAGTATTCATTAACACCAGCCAGGCAGGTGTTATTAGACAAGGAAACTGAGGCCAAGAGAGCTTAACTTGCTCTAGTTCAAAGAAACCGTTCCACAACCCCACTGAGGTGGTCTGCCAAGAGTGTTAGTACAGGTGGGGATGGTTGTGAGGGATGAGTTCTTGAGTTCAAGTTTGATATTGCTGTGCGGAATGAGGCATCTTTCTGGCTTCGGTGAGATCTTGACTGCTTTGCGTTGTGTGTGTACTATTGCTTGTTTCTGGGGCATACACACCAGCACTGACTCCTCCTGTCACATGTCTCAGTTAAGAAAATCACCACCAGCCTGTCCTACTCCTATTTTGAGCGAAGCCCACCTGAGAACAGCTTCCTCAGACTTACCGCTTTGGCAACATACTCAGAGTCCAGCCTCAGCTGCTTTGCTCAGGAAGACATCGCCATCTGTAGACCATGCCTCGCCATTGAGGTAGGCACCAGTCTCCCCAAATGACTCATTCGCTATTACTCAGGTCCCCATTTCAGAAAGAACCAGAGCCTATCACACTCCAGTACAGGGGACTCTGCCGTAGAGTTACTAGAAAATGCTAGGCTGAGAGCTCCTTGTCTTCACAGACATGGTTTATTGCCTATGCTATTCAGGTTTAAATCTTTGGGTAGGTAAAGGTTCCTACAGCTGGGCTCCCCAGTTGCTACCTCCATACTTATTGGGATAATAGCCTATGTTTATTTAGCATATTATACAGAGGCCAATGTATTTTCACCTCCTTTATTTCTTTTAATTCAAAAGCCCTGTGAGGTGAAACTGTTTTCCATTACTCAGGTGAGGAAACTGTCCTAAAGAGCAACATGCACAAGATCATAAAAATGGGACATTTTAGAGATTTATGGCTCTTGGTCTGGTCATCTTTCCACATGTCTACCTTGGCCAAAATAAATGTGTTTTGGTTCATGGCCTCAAAGAAGTTATAGTTGGGTAAGAGAAACACAATGTTTCGTCCTATATGTAAGTGCTTTAATAGAGCTACAAAGTCACTCTGGGATAAATGAAGTAAAGGGGATTAAAGCTCATCTGATAAATTTGAGGATGACTTCGTGGAGGAGGTGGGATTTATACTGGGCCTTGAAAAATGGGTAAGCTTCCAGTGCAGAGGTAGGGGAAGGCCACTGCAAGCAGGAAGGGCCCAAAGAAAGGGAATCTGAGGGGGGTGTGCTGGGGGATGGGAAAGTACCAGATGTAGCCTGGATATAGTTTAGTCAAGGGAAGAATAAATGAGGTTGGAGAGGTGGGTTGGGGTCAGACCATGAAGGATTCTGAGTGTCAACTGCAGCTGTATACCAAACACAGTGGGGAACATTCCAAGGTCTCTAAGTGAAGGAGAGGCACCTTCAGAGACAGTCTATGATGGATCAAAGGTGAGAGTAAATGCAGGAAGGCCAGGTAGAAAGGTAAAGAAGTCAGCTGTGGTACTTGGAAATGGATGGCAGAGATAGGAGCGTAATGAGGAGGGTACAGGGCAGGTGCCCAGGAGGGGAAGGAGCGACTCTGGCTCTGTGTTCTTGACCTCTGCTCCAGGTGTTGTCTCTTCCCACAGATGCCAGAGGTAGCAGAGCAGTATCAACCTCTTAAGGCTTCAGTCAGCATCCAAAACTCTCTAGATGCTCCCATGAAGGACTGCGTGATCTCCATCCTTGGAAGGGGGCTCATTCACAGAGAGAGGAGCTACAAGTAAGAAACCGCAAGTTTCCCAGCCCCTTGACACATCTCAGCTGGTCAGAAAGGGTGGGACCCAAGAGGAGTAACTAACTGTCTTTTTGCTGTGTCTATGGAGACAGTGCAAATATGCCCTGAAGTGAAACTAAAGGACTAGGGCCTGTCTCATCCTGGGGACCATGTGTACAGGGGACAGGAGTGAGGGAGGCTCTGTGCCCCTTAGACACTCGCCTGACCCCTGGTTGCTGCCCTGCAAGAAGAGCCCTGACACAGGTGGTGAATGCAGGTGAGAGGGTCAGGGCCGAGTGCTAGAGATCACAGGGTGGGTAGGCTGCCTCTCAAAAGCTGCATTCTACTAATGCCGCCCACAAGACTGAATTTTGTTTATTTGAATATCCTCTTCTATTCTTATTTCCTACTTCCATTCCCACCACCCTTCATATCCTTTTGTTAGTATGTGTTAAATGTCCACTGTTGCTTCATGAGCCTATATTTTTAACTTATATAACTGATGTTATATCTAATTCTTTTTCTTTTCACTCAGATCTGTCCACATATACCAAGTCCATTGTTTCTGCTGCCTAATACAGAGTGCACATCCCCTGCTTCCTACCACTCCACTTCACAGTGATGGGCACTCAGGGTGCCTCTTTTGGATGCCACAAATACTGCTGCAAAGAACACCCCCAAACATGTCCCCTTATGTGCTTGTTTGAAACTGATTGGGGAGGAAAGAATATATATGCCCAGGAATTGAACTGCTGAGTCCTAGAATGTTTGCAGAGCGGCTATAGGGGCCTTACTCCCTCCAGCAGTCCCTGACATAGTAGGAATAGTATTCCTACTATTCGTCTGCTCTTGGCAATACTCACCTTTCTCTTTTTTCCAGTCTATAAGAAATAAGATAATATCTCTTTATTGTTTTAATTTAACTCTTCATGTGTTTATTAGCCTTTTACTTTTCCTCCTCTATAAAGTTCCTTGTCCACTTTTCTTTTGGTGTTCCTGCTTTTGTGCCTTGTTCATGTGCAGAGTTCCCTGTATAGTCTAGGCATGAGTCCCTTGTTGGTTTTAAATGTTGCAAGTATCTCTTTTCATGACCTCTCCTTTCATTATGTCCACTGCATCCTTCAATGAATATACAGTATCCAGTTTCGAGTTTCTGTTTGTACCGCCCTGCAGGTCCCTGACTGATTTTCTGATATTGAGCCACTGCCTCAGCCTCATGAAACTCAGTGATACATTCTTGCCAATAAGTTGAGAGAAGGGACTGCCAAGGTTCAATCAGATATGTGTAGTCTCCCGGATCAGTTGTGGGACAAAGCTCCTTAAAGGATACCTGCACCATTCATTCCCTCAGTCACCGTAAGAAGGTCCCCAGGCAGGCCAGGAGGCTGCTGATAGGGCTCCAAACACCACCTGTTGCCATACTGACATCTTCTCAATATACCAGCCATACCCACTGCATTTAGCAGTGCAAGTGTTACAAAGCTCAAGCTTTTCCAAACATACCCCAGTGCTGTTACCAAGAGTGGAAACAGACTGAAGTCACAGGTGATAAAAGAAAAAGCAGATGCAGCTTGGAAGCCCTTAGCATAGGATTTCTCTTCTCAGTCATGAAATTGCTTACCATAGAGGGGCTGTCTTCTACCCTCTTAAAATCTCCTGTGTCAACAGCGAGGTACTTAGATGTTTATTTCATCATGATCCACCTCTTCAAGTAGGGAAGGATCAGAATCACTGGGACCAGCGAAGCAATGAAACTGGGACAGAATTAGCACCTACCTTTTCCTTTATTTCAGGTTAGGTCCTGTGCGGCCTGGAAACACCTTGTGCACCCAATTCTTCTTCACGCCGACGAAGGTGGGGCTCCAGCGGCTCACTGTGGAAATGGACTGCAACATGTTCCAGAACCTAACCCACTACAGGAGTGTCACTGTGGTAGCCCCTGAGCAAGCAGCTTAAACTACCAGCTCAAACTACCAGCTCCAGCATCAGTTGCCCCAACCACCCCCTTGTATATATGATCTGAAACCAAACGTGCCTGAAGGGAAACTTTGCTTATCGAACAAATGAAATCTCCATTCAGGCTGAGCAGAAGAGTGACCAAGAACAGAACTAGATTCCCAAAAATCAATAGTAAAGACATTCATCTCTGTCACTCCAGCTTAAGGCAGCTGTGAAGACTAGTTGTCTTACAATAGAAACTACTGAGCTTGAGTGATAAAAGGAAACTTAAAAAGGTACTCAGATAAGCACATTCAGATTTTTCTGGTTCAGAGTTTTCACAACCATTTTAGTGCTAACACATTCACTAACTCATAGGTAAAGAACCTAAAATTTAAATCATTCTTATATTTCTGATGAAATGGGGCACTATAAACTAAAAATTGAATTTTTAGATAATTCTAAGATTACATTGATCAATGCTATCCCTGACCATTACCCTTCAAGTTTCAAAGATAACTGAACAAAGTTATAAAATACAAAACATAGGACCTGAGAGTAGAATGGTCTTCTAAGTTCTGCTATAGACAAGTTTTTATGGGAGTTTCGTATGCATTAAGTATCCTACAATTAAAGTCTGATGTTAATAACATGAATTTGGTTAGTAGAGAAATATGAAAATTATTAAGTATATAGAAAATAGGTCCTGAAAGAAAGAATAAAAGAACTGGACTCCTTTTGTACAAAGTTATGATTTTTTGGGGTTCATATTATTTTGTTGCTTTGGCACTTTCTTAGTTTTCGTTCTTTTTCTTTATGATATTTGTTAAAAATACAGAATGGCACTTTATAAAGGTAAATTAAAACTCTTAAAAATTTCAACCCCAAGTACACACCAGTTGCTCAGAAGAATGGCTGCTGTTGCTATTTATACCTAAAGAGACCATGGAGACACTGGAAGGGCAGACGTGAAGAATTACACATAACTATTCAAGGAAAAGGACTGGCATAAGTCAAGTCACCAGAATCTACATGACTATAAATTTGCCTTGTTTCCAGTATATAATCTTCCAGACTGATGCAAAAATATAGTTAAGTGGTGATGGTTTCATGAAATGATTAAGTGAAGAGACCCTAAAAGTTATATAAACTTGTGTACATTAGAAATTTTTTGATTGATAAAAATTTTGTATTTCTATCTGGGGATACATGTAATATATAACAGAAACAATACAGGTATGTATAAAAAAAACAAATCTGGTTCAGTAAACAAACCTGACAAATGAACTCAATTACAGAAAATAATTTTAGAGTCATGGAGTGACTTGAAATAATATTTGGAAGGATTTAATAAGAATAATGATATTATATAATTTGCTCAAGTACTAAGAGGGGCCTTGGAGTCATCTTCTTTATATTAAAGTCAAGTGTTCTGTCCTAAGCATACCTCTGATCAGAATCAGATCTTCAGGCCTATAAATCCAAATGAAAGCAAGGTTCTAGTCTCAACCTGTATTTCTGGTACAAAGAAACTGGAAGGGTACTCATTTAACCACTGGCAGGTTAGCATTTTATTAAGACTGCCAACATCTTTTACAATGAAACACACTTTATTGCAGATAGGGATTAAGGCAGCTTCCCCAGGAATCTCTGGGGGGCGATTCAGGAACACAAACTCATGCCATTATATTTGTATCTAGCACAGAAAAATATATCATACTCATATGTTTTATAAATAATTGTCATTCTGGCTTAATCAACAATCTTTGGTAATAGTGTCTCTTGATAAGTATAGACAGAAACTCTCTTTCAAACCAGAAAGCATTATAGCTCCATTTTAAAAGCAGACATCAAAGCCTGACTGTGACAGTAAGAAACAGAGAGAGGAGGGGACAAATGAGACTGAAAACTCATAATTCCAGTTCATTCTGAGTCAGCTCCTTGATTCTATTCATGCAATGATCAACAGCATTAATGAGTAAAGGGATCCAACTATCTTCTGGCTGTGGGGTCACATGACTTGATCTGTAAATGGAATGGAAACAGAGAAGTGAGACTGATTACACTGTCAAGGGAAAACCTATCCTCAACAGGAATCACAGAGGAAACTCTATTGAGAAAAGCAAGTTTCTTTGCAGAAACCCATCTGCTCCACAACTGAAGTTGAAAGAAAACTTCACACCCGTTCCTTGAAACGGGGGTTTGAGAGCTGAGAATGGCTGGGCGGGTTTATTCTCATAAAGTATTTGAGGAGAAGTTCTTATACTCACTTTGTAATTTCAAGTGCCTTCTTTACGACGGAAACAAGTTTTGCAGACTAAAAAGGAACAGAAAAGTTTTATTTATTTTTATGGGAAGGGCTCACCTGATTTTGGATTCTTTTCTATTTAGCAAAAATTTTTTTCAGTACATCTTATTGATTTTGCTATTACAGTTGTCCCCATTCTTCTCCCTTTGCCTCCCTCCGCCCAGTATCCCCTTTCCCCCAGCAGTCCCCCGCTCCTTAGTTCATGTCCATGGATTGTGCATGTAAGTTCTTTGGCTTCTCCATTTCCTCTACTATTCTTAACACCCTCCTGTCTCCTTTGTACCTACCAGTTATGCTTCTTAATCCCTGCACCTTTTTCCTCATTCTCCCCTTCTCCGTCCCAGCCGGTAACTCCCAAATGATTTCCATATCTATGATTCTGCTCCTATTCTAGTTGTTTGCTTAGTGTTTTTAGTCAGTTGTGGATGCTTGTGAATTTGTTGCCATTTTAATGTTCATAGTTTTCATCTTCCTTTTTTTAAAAATAAGTCTCTAACATTTCATGTACTAATGGCTTGGTGATGATGAACTCCTTTAGCTTTACCTTGTCTGGGAAGCACTTTATCTGCCCTTCCATTCTAAAAGATAGCTTTGCTAGATGGAATAATCTAGTCTGCAGGTCCCTGCTTTTCATCACTTTGAATACTTCTTGCCAGTCCCATCTTGCCTGCAAGGTTTCTTTTGAGAAATCAGCTGATAGTCTTATGGGAACTCTTTGTAGGTAACTGTCTCATTTTCTCTTGCTGCTTTTAAGATTCTCTCTTTATCTTTAAATTTTGGCATTTTAATTATGATGTGTCTTGATGCGGTCCTCTTTGGGTCCAACTTGTTTGGGACTCTGTGCTTCCTGGACTTGTATATCTATCTCCTTCACCAAATTAAGGAAGTTTGTTTTTATTATTTTTTCAAATAAGTTTTTCATTTCTTGTTCTTTCTCTTCACCTTCTGGCATCCCTATGATTTGGATGTTGGCACATTTGGAGATGTCCCAGAGGCTTCTTATATTATCCTCATTTTATTTTTTAATTCTTGTTTCTTTTTGCTGTTCTGCTTGAACGCTTATTTCTTCCTTATGTTCCAAATCATTGATTTGAATCCCAGCTTCCTCCCCCTCCCCGTCACTGTTGGTTCCCTGTAGATTTCTCTTTGTTTTACTTAGTGTAACCTTCATTTCTTTCCTTATGTTGTTGCCATATTCAGTGAGTTCTTTAAGCATTGCGATCACCAGTGTTTTGAACTCTGCATCTGCTAGGTTAGTTATCTCCCTTTTATTTAGGTATTTTTCTGGGTTTTGTTCTGTTTTCTTTTGGGCCATATTTGTCTCCTCAGTTTGGCAGCCTCCCTGTGTTTGTTTCTGTGTATTAGGTGGAGCTGCTTTGACTCTTAGTAGCATGGTGTGTTGTAGAAAAGGCAACTTTAAATGTGTGGGGTGGAGCCTTAGTTAATTGTCAGGGCAGGGCAACCCACTTTATCACTTGGTGGCTCTGTGTGGGGGGAGGGCTTGAAGAGGGGACAGTGCCACTGACTGCCTTGTGGAGGTATGCCCAGCACTTGCCCTGTTTCCAGTCACTTTATCCACTCCCTGTATGTGACTCTGGCACCCTTCCAGCTGTTGCCCTAGTGCTGAATTCCAGAGTGGGCATATTTGCACAAGTTCTAAGATCGTGCAGGCCCTTTACTTGGAGTCTCCTGAAAATCCAGCAGTTTATTCTGCCACCCAAACCCAGACAGGTTTTTACACTCAGCAGTTATGGGGATTTATTTTTCCAGTGCTGGAACCCTGGGCTGTGTGGTCTCTCCTGGGACTGGGATTGTTCACTTCCAAGGTAACCCTCCCGATTTTTATCTACCACATGGGAATGTGGGATGGCCCATCCACCACCACCTCTCCACACCACACCACATTTTCTCGCCTCTCCACCTGTCTCCATGTCTCTGCCCCTCCTATCCATCTGGATGAATGTGGCTTCTTTAAATCCTTGGTTGTTGGACTTGCATACAATTCAATTTTCTCACAGTTCTGGGTGTTGTTTTAACATTTAGTTGTAATTCTTTCTGTGGTTGTGTGAGAAGGCGAAGCATGCCTACTTATGTCTCCTTCTTGATCAGAAGTCAACCAAAATCTTATTAATATCGATGCTATAATACTTTTCTAAGTTCTTTTTAAATTAAAAATATTTTTAATTTTGAAAAGAAGCAAAAGTAAGAATATAACCTGAATTTGTCCAAACTCTGATAGTTCAGCTGTGTCAGTAGAAACAGCTAATGCTTCCCTTTTAAAAAAAAAAATCTATGTAGCCCTGGCTGGTGTGGCTCAGTGTATTGAATGCCATCTTGAGAAGCAAAGGGTCACCAGTTCAGTTCCTGGTCAGGGTGCATGCCTGGGTTGCGGGCCAGGTCCCCAGTTATGAGCCCATCCCTGGTTGGAGGTATGCAAGAGGCAAGCGATAGATGTCTCTCTCACACATTGATGTTTCTCTCCCTCTTTCTCTATCTCTTCCCCTCTTTCTAAAGATGAATAAAGAAAATCTTTTTAAAAAATCTATGTAGCCCTGACTGGTGTGGCTCAGTTGGCTGAGCATCATTCAACAAAGTAATAGGTTGCTGGTTCAATTCCTGGTCAGAGCACATGCCTGTGTTGCAGGTTTGGTCCCTGGTCAGGGCACATAAGAGAGGCAACTGATCAATGCTTCTCTTTCACATAGATGTTTCTCTTCCTCTTTCTCTCTCTCTTCCCCCTCACTAGAATATGAAAATACACACACACACACACACACACACACACACAAACACACAGAATTTTAAGAACATGAATGACAAGAAAATATGAGGATGTATGTATGCCACCAATGTTTAATACATATTTTAAA